TTATATTATGCCTGTCAAGGTATTTGACATCCTCTGGGATGCTTAGTCTCTTTTGTGATTGCTTAACTGAGATTTACTCTACAAATCCCACTGGAAGTGAATCATCTTTGGGAACTGCAATGGCAGTCTGGTAGCAGACCTGATGAAGTCTTATTTAAAGGCCCTGAGGGGGAGTGACTTCTTTTCTGCAGACATTTCCTCCAGAATAAGATGTGTTGGGTTTACTCATATTTGGAATTGATGGAATGCAAATAAGAAAGAAACTTAATACGCATGAGATTACTCAAGGATTGGCTGGCAATAATTGGTGACTGTTTACTATGTAGAGCCATTCTAGTGTCTGTAAATATATATCCAGGAAAAGCCTCCAAAGCTGTGCAGTTCTCCAGTGAGGCCTCGGTGAGGCCATACAGAGTAAGGAGCAAGTAAGATCCCTCTGGATGACAGAACCAGGGGTCATGTGATCAGATAACCAAGGAACTTATTGCACTGACAACACAAGAATTCTAATTCTGCTTAACCTGATTTGATATGTATTTGAGTTCAGTAATTTAGGCTTGCTTCTAATTTTCTCATTTCCTAAATGGTCATTTTCCCATAAATACATGTATCCTGTTGCTTCTGTGTCATTCTGCAGTGTGAGAATTCAGAGAGATAACTGCTCTTTTAAAGGTATGGATTGAGGAACTATGAGGAGGAGCCATGGGCCTGTTGGAGACAATGGCATCACCAGATGCAATCACAGAATAACGGTTTGAGGTGGGCTCTTTTTGGGAAAGAATTAATGCATGCCACCTAAAATGTATGTATGCATGCCACCTGTAATGATGTCATGGATCCTCAAAAGCCAAGGAGATGGACTGTTCTTAATTTTCTCTACTGCAGAGGCAAAGAAGTTAAAATACTCATCAACTCATATTCTCTTACAAGAAAGAGGAAAATCATGTGACTCAGTTTTGGCTTTTGAGTTGTAAGCACAAGTTGCTAAGTTGAGATTCTTGAAAAGCCTTTAAAAGGACAAAATCAGCCATACTGCTCCTTTATCTATTTGCTTTTTTCTCTTTTCTCTTTTTCCTGGGTTAACTGTGGATACAAGAGCTAGAACTTTAGAAGGCGTCTTATAAATGTATGACATAAAAGCCAGAGAAGAAGGATGGCAGAGCTGCCTTGATCCTTGATGGCACCCCAAAGAGCTGCCCTCCGCTGTCTATCTATGGCCTTCTTCCTACATGAGTAAAATAAACATCTGTAAGTTAACTTATTGTTAGCAGGGGTTTCTTCACTTTTTTTTCATGCTTACAGAGATACATATTCCTTGGCCAATAAGTGTTTTCTCTATATCCTGAAGTTGGCAAGAACAGTAACAGTCAAAATTCTTAGTCTAGAGCTGTAGCAATTCAGGAGGCAGAATGTTAAACATTCAGAAAAAAATTTTTTATTCATTCTCTAATATTCAGAATACTACCTAGACAGAGTAGGCAATAAAAATGTTTGCTGACTGATGCTATTTATTATCTATTTTAAAGAAACTAATTTGGAATAACACACACTTCCAACATGTATTAGGATTTATAGAAGGTCTAGTAGCAAATCTGAATTCAAAGTATAACAATATTGAATAACATTTACTTACTATAATCTAGGGTCTTACTAAATACTTAATGTACTTTCTAAAATTCTCACAGCAATTCTATAACCTAAGACTTATTATTAGAGAAATTCAGAGATATTTAAATAACTTAGCCAAGGTCACATATCCAGGTGGTACCAGAGCGAGGATTCAAGGCCAATCTTACTTCCCTCCAAATCTATGCTCATAACCACTATGTGTTACTAAAATATTCTGAATCTGATTTTCTAAAAGAAACATGTCTTTTGATACCAAAAAAAAAAAAAAAAACCCTTTGTGGCAGAACAGTAAGTATACAGAAAAATGTTCATCCGCGTTAGTTGTTATTCATTATAAATCAATTACCACTTCCTGGATGATTTGCTACTGGTTGACAGATCAGTTGGATTTTCCATATGCACACATTGGAATAAGCTAGCTAAATAAAGCAATTCACATGGAGAGTTTTATGTTAGCTGAAGGTTACTATTGGAAAACTAGATTATTAGTAATATTTTTATTTTAAAATCCTGGAGTCATTAAAATGTGACACCACAAACTGCATAGTAGGATATTGATAAGAACAAGGATGCAGGAGGTGATTCACTAGATACTTAAATGGCAAAAAATATAGTGTAAGTTTCAAATACGCTGCAGACTGCAGGTTTATATGATAATAAATAATAGTTATCACCAGGACAAAGGGGGAAAATGTCATGAAATCCAATAGCCCAGTGAGAAATCTGCTAATACAGGTGGTCAAGCTTATCCCATTTCATTGTCAAAGGGAGCCTATTTAGTTTCTTATGGATAGTTAAATTACAGAGCCATTCATTGCTGAAAGTTTTCCAGTAGGCAAATATGAATCTAAAGCTAACAGAATAAGAATTAACTTCACAGGCAGCAGAATTGATAAGATAAAATCTTTGAATAAACTACAAAAATAGAAGTGACTTTAAACATTCCAATTGGAAGCTCTTTATACAGTGGGCATGAGCCAACAGCCAAAATGCTGGCTAGGAAAAATCATCATTTTAGGAGTTCTTTAAAACATTTCCCCAAATCAGGACGAATAGCAGGGGGTGGAGGGATTGGGGAGCGATAGCACTAGGAGAAATACCTAATGTAGATGACGGGGCGATGGATGCAGCAAACCACTAACATGGCACATGTGTACCTATGTAACAAACCTGCACGATCTGCACAGGTACCCCGGAACTTAAAGTATAACAAATATAAAAAAATTTTCCCCAAATCAAATGCCTTCTGACTAGGGAAGATGCCAATAATTAGAGAGAGAGAATGAAAGAGAGAGGGTGTGGGTGGGCGAGTAAGAGAGAGAGAAAGAGAGAGATTCCCTGTGCATTAGAACGCTGGGAAACTGAGGGAAAATATTCATACTGGTTCCTCAGTAGTTATAAAATCAATGTCAACTTTCTTTTCTTGTTGTACAAGATGGCAGTGGTTTTTATCTAAAAACCAACTATACATATTCCGAGGACATTTGAAATGGTAGAGATTATGCATGCTGTTTTCATTACTTCTAAAGTGCTATAATCTGGTAACTTCCAGATTTGGAAATTTACCAATGGAATAAATCAAAGGTATTCCAATAACAACTTTTTCCTTAAGCATCCTTATATTCATTTTCTTGCAAGTAGGTGTTGCTTTCAGTCCAAATTCTAGTTATATATTTTACATATACCTAACAGCTACATTTCGTCATTTGTTTTCTGGGTACAGGAAGTCACTATTTAAGTTGCCATTGACTCCTTCCCAAGTAACCTTTAAACCAAGACATGAATATATTTTCCTTATTAATTAAAAAGACTAACTTCATCAATCTTAGTTCATGAAAATATCTAAGGTTTCCAGGCATAATCTTGATGAAGAATACATTACACAGCTGAAAGAATTCAAATTTATATTGTCTTGAACAACTATTCATGTGTCATAAAGGACAATGAGTTCACCAAAGTAATCTATATGGGAAGTGGCTAGCAACAAAAGGTTAACAGATACAGTCTCCATCATTTTACTAGAAGACAAGTGAAGATAAAGAAACGAAATAGCTTACGTCTAGTTATTTGAGGTCAAGATTGGAAAATGTTATCAAATAATGTCAGTAATCTCAACAAAATCCAAATAACTGAAAATTAGACAACCTTATCATTATATCACTCAACTCTTATGGGAATAGTTAAGCTTAAGTGCGTATATGAATAGAGCATGAATACATTAGAACAGGTTCAAGGTCTGTTGGTCATTCCACCTAAAATTTACAGAATCTGGAGATAAATAAGTGCACTAGTATCAATCAGAAAGAGTATTTAAAGATTTAGATTGCAGGTGAACAAATTCAAAATGATCATCATTTTAAAGCAGACAGCTAACAAGCATCAATATTATAAACAATTGTTTTGACATTTTATCTAGAAAAAATTATAGATATACAGGATGTTGCAAAGATAGTACAGAGAGATCTTATATACCCTTCATCAAGTTTCTACAAATGTTACATTTTATATAATTATATGATATCAAAATCAGGAAACTGACATTGGTGTAATATGTGTATATAGTTCTATATTACTTTATCAGGTATAGATTCTTGTAACCACCACTGCAATCAGGATACAAAAGTATTGTAAATAATTTAACTTATTTTCTCAGATATCAAAATATATTACAATTTCAGGTAGAAGGTTCTTATTCTATTGTTAAATAGAATAAGTATTTCTATTTAACAATATTCTATTGTTAAATAGAATAAGTATTTATTCTATTTAACAATACATAAATTATTGAAAATTATTAATATCTAAAATCATTATCTTAGAAAACTCTATGTATAAAGACCAAAGTGAAATTCTGGCAATACAGAGAAGGTACACTTCAGTTAAACTCATTCCCCTTCATAGATCAAACAACCCATCATTCAACAATCAGCTCTGCCCAGCTAAGAGAACACACACATTTTTTAGCATGCAGTTTGTCAAAGACAATTTGCTGATAATTCTATTATTCCAAAACTGTTTACCAATATAAATCCCAGACAGACACACACACAGGCATGCCCCACCTTTCTCAAGCAGAACAGAGCAGTTCACAAGTGTCCTTAAATTGGGAATGAGATTACCATAATAAAAGATACAGTAATAAATATACTTAAAGAAACAATGAAATATGTCAGCCAGATTCTCCTAAGCCAAGCTGAATGTGGAGTTTCTTATTTTCCCCAACAAGAAAATATAAAACAAATTGTTGCAACCTCCATCTCTGAGTGAGCTCAGAGCAAAGGAGAAATATTTAATCTCTCCTTCTTCCATCCTCCTCTCTCTCTCTCTCTCTCTCACACACACACACACACACCCCTAAACATCAATCTTACCTTAGCCATCTGTGCCTGCACGCCATTTGCCTTGAGAGATGCTACCGCTTTCTGTGCGGCCGCAGGACTGTCAAAATCTACAAAACCGTAACCTGTGAAAACATAAAAACCCCTAGTTAGTATTCACAAAAAGCTAAATGTCTATCCTCACTGCTGAAGTGCAAGTTTACAGAGAGAGTTGCATTTATTTCTTCGGACACATACGCCTGGTAGATCATTAGGCTCTTAGACTGGTAGTCCTTAATGCTTTGGGAGAGATACCGTAATATCTCTAGATATAAAGTAGTAGCTCTTACTTTCTAGGCATTGCTTTGGAGATTGAGTATACAATCCGTAACCTGATTTAAACTAATTTGGTGAGTAAGATAATAGACTGTTTAACTCTGTTCTTTCTTCAATGGCAAAATGAGATGCATAAAATAATGGAAAATATAGAAAATTCTCTCCCGAGAGTTAATTTTCAAAACCTCAAATATTGATGCTAACAAAAACCATGATAAGAACATGCAAAAGGTTATCATCAGCAACTGCAATAGTGCTTAGCACACAGTAGGTATTCAATAAATATATGTTGACTTCACGAATAAGTATAAGCTGTGAATGAGAGTTAGGGTTTAAACCTAGTTCCAGTTGATTACTATGCCCATGCTCCTCCATTATCTTGTCTCTCTCAATGATAACATCTTAAATGACTTTGACTCTTAAGGGATCTGTGAAAAAGAATGACTAAATGCATAAATATTCATGCTTCTTTTAAAAATAAGAAATACACACCTATGTTGCTTATTTGCTTCTAGTGTACAGTCTGAAACAGGCATACAAGTTCCCGATGCTATTCTGATTGTGTGCTTGTGTGGATATGCATGTCTGGTGAGAGCAAATAAACAGTAAAATAGTCAATGAAAAGGCCATTTTGCATGCCCTTACGCTGGCTAATAGTCCAAGGCTTAGCCTAACAGCAATGCCAACTGCCAAGAATGTTTTGAAATATAAATGCTCAAGAGTGAGTATCAGGGCAGCTTTGTTTGGCATGCTTAAAAAGCTCACCAAATGTATCCGATACTCAGCTGTCAGGTTAGGAGTCATCGGTATTCTTCTACTTGTCTTATTTAGAAGTTTTGAGGTGAGACACTGAAGCAAACCTACTAACCATGTACTGTGACACCTCCTGCCACCCCAAAATAACCAAAGAAGAGTGCAAGGGAATTCAATTACCAAGTTGTTTCTTTTAATTAACTTTTTAATTTTTTCCCCTTGAATCTCATCTTCTTTTTCTCCCTCCCAGCATGTTCTCCTAAAATGAACTTGTTACACAGCAGTGTACCGTAAAATGCTCTTGAAAAGCTGGGCAGAGAAGCTGTGAAGTTTGTATTTCTAATCCAAAAGGAAGCCTGTTCTGTAAGTACTGCTAATTCTTCTCTTCCTACAAAATCAAACTAAGTGGGTAATATAAGTATTACCACCCATCAAGATGAGTAAGACAGAAAAAAAAAGTAGAAAGTAATAGTCAAGAAATAGAGTCCAGGGGAGAAGAAAGCAAAACTATCAACTGTCACGTGCCAGTTGCTGTGCTGGGTAGTTAACACACTGGTACTTGGTGAGGTCATAATAACATCATGTACTACCACTGGCTTCATGCCCACTATACCCATGAAGAAGAGACTGAAGCTCAGGTAAGCTGATCCAACTGGACCAGAATCACAAGCCACTCAATCAGCAGAGCCAGGATTTGAAGTCAAGTCTGCATGGGTCCTTTCAAGTATACCATATGAACTGCTTTATATTCCCACACTATTAACTATTTCTACTAGCCTCTGAAGCCCACCAGAGGAAGGGCTCAGTCTTGAAAATTCCTTAAATGGCAAGGAATAAAACAATTCCAAATAAAAGGGTTTAATTGAGCTCATTTAATCAGTTCATTTGTCAATGGAGTGGTTGATGAGTTAAGATGAGATTGAGATGGGAACAACCTTGTACCGTTCATAGGCTCATTTATTTATTCAATAATAAAATTCTATTTCAGGCACTGCACTGAGCACGGGGTATACAGTAGTAGAAACAAACCTCAGTTCCCACTCATGCAACTAATAATTGAGATGGGAGAGGGAGAAGAACAAATAACCATACAAATAAATACATACTTAGAAAATTGCACATCTTCCTTGAAATTAAATGACAGCACATAACATAGATTGTAATTACCGATTGTCCATTATTGAAAGTTTTAAAGAAGCAATGGTGTTACATGATCTGCATTTAAAAACTGATCACTCTAGCCAGAGACTGCAATGTTGGGGAGCTAGACTGGAATCAAGAGATAACTTAGGGGCTATTGCAACATTCCAGAAGAATGGAAGCTGGCAATGAAACAGGATGAAGTGGACGGTTTGAGTTATATTTTGGAGGCAGAATTAAAAGGGCTCTGTAAATGGATTGACTGAGCTGGGGAAAAGGAAGGCATAGATAAGGTTTATTACCCTTTTTGTTCATTCGTTTTGTTTTGTTTTGCTTTGTTTTTGCCATAAGCCACTGGGTAAGTATGTGATTTCTTGAAACGGGGAGACTCAGGGAAGAACCAGCAGGAGAGAAGGAAAATTAAAATATTGGTCTGAGACACATTGAGTCAGAAATGGTGGATACAGCTAAATAGAAACGTCAAATTGCAGTTGGATATATTAGGTGGGTGCTCACAAATGGAGATGAACTTGGACATACCAGAGGACAACAGTACAAAGATGTTATTTAGAGATGTTATCTATGGGAAATAGCAAAAAATGCCTAGAGTAAGTATATTTTAAAAAACGTGCAGTATTAGAACTCTAGCAACTTCAACATTTAGGCATCACATAAAAAGAAAAGACTGCAAAGGAAGCTGGAGAATCAGAGAGGAAGAAGGAAATGAAAAGGGAATCAGACGTCTCAAGTTCAAGGTAAGAAAGTATTCTGAGAAGGAGGGAGAGATAATAGTACCGAGAGTTTGAGCAAGAAGACAGCTTGAAGATGCCCAGTGTGTTTAGAAACATGATGTCATTATCATGATTTGCTTTAGGCAAGTGGTGGGGATTGAAGCCTGCTGGAGTAGTTGAAGCATAAGAGAGAGATGAAGAGGAGGATTTACAGGCCTCTTTGCAGTTATCTTGGCTGGGAAGAAGAATTAAGATAGCAAGGGATATAAGGTCAACTGAGTTGTTTTTGTTGGTTTGCTTTAAGAAGGAGACACTATGGTTATGTGTGTGTGTGTGTGTGTGTGTGTGTGTGCGCGCGCGTGCGCGCATTGTCAATTTCCTACCCGATTCCAGTGTGAAGTCAGGGTAACAAACTGCTGAGTATTCATGTACATTATTCAACAAATATTTATTGAGCACTTTCTATAGGACAGATAGTGTTCTTGGCATTTTTGAATGTTGAATATTGAGGGGAAAGCTCACGCAGAAAATAGATTAAAGCTTCAGGAGGACAAGTGGGTAATTTATAGAATGACATTCCTGAGAAGGTAGAAGGGTGGGGGCATCTAGAAACTTGATGAAAGTGTTGGCCTTCCCTAGACAAGGATCCTCCCCTTCACCCACTGTAACTGGAAGAACAAAGAGCAATCTCTATTATCAGGGGTTGTTTTTTTGTATTTCCCAGGTACTAGGACTGTACCTAATACCTAGCCCATGCTTAATAAATATTTGTGAAAATAAATGGAAAACATGTTTAAAAGATGTTAATTTACTTCATGGGACTGTGATGGGGGTTAACTGATAAAAATGTCTATTAGGCCGGGCACGGTGGCTCACGCCTGTAATCCCAGCACTTTGGGAGGCCGAGGCAGGTGGATCACGAGGTCAAGGGATCGAGACCATCCTGGTCAACATGGTGAAACCCCGTCTCTACTAAAAATACAAAAAATTAGCTGGGCATGGTGGCACGTGCCTGTAATCCCAGCTACTCAGGAGGCTGAGGCAGGAGAATTGCCTGAACCCAGGAGGCGGAGGTTGTGGTGAGCCGAGATCGCGCCATTGCACTCCAGCCTGGGTAACAAGAGCGAAACTCCGTCTCAAAAAAAAAAAAAAAAAAAAAGTCTATTAATACTGTTGGACTATGAAGAACACATAATGCTAAGTGGTCATGGCTCTGTATCACCCATGCTGCTGCCCAGCAGGCAGCCCCTTATTTTATGACTTCCACCCTTTCCTCTAGCGTGGCTTCTTCCCTTCTTTTTCACCCCCACATGGTACATAGGATATTATAAAATCAAGATGCTGACCTTCAGGACTAAACTCCAATACAAACAGAAGACATTTCTGTGAGGTTGCGATACACCCCGAGCTTTCTCTGAATCAAGAATGCGCTGGCTAAACTTTGAGAAAAATGTACTTATAAAGAGTCATCCTGCCAGCAAGGAGAGACAGGCTGGCCCTTTTGTACAAAATGTCTGTACTGATGGCACCAAGCCAAGGGGGGTAGAGACTGCATAAATAAAATTATAAGTAGGCAATAAGCCACCAAATCAGAAATATTTCACTGAATTATGTGTTTTTCATATAGACTCACTTTCACTAGTTCCAATGAAAGTTTATGGAAAAAATGTCTCAAGTAACCCTGAAAAATACTCTCATTCTAGAAATAAACACTGCATTACTGAGTTTTACATAACAGCAGATACTACATCACAATCAGAAGAAAACAAAATGAAATACCAGACTGCCCCTAAAGAATAATGATTCATTTAGCAAGGAATAAAGCCACTTCAATTTGCTTTCAATTTGTTTTCCTTAATGACAAATAATCAAGTCTGGGAACAGCAACCTCTGTACCTACATCTGGTGAGGAGAAGGGTAGGGGGAGATTAGTTCAGCTTCAGCTAATAATGCTCCACGGTAACTGCTAAAAATCCTCAACAAAACACTGGCAAATGCTAACCATCAGAAACTCTGGCCCAAGTGGCTGTAAGCCCACCCGTCTCACTCTCTCAGTTACATAATTAAGCTTGGCAGCAGGTTCAAATGAATTAAAACTGAATGTCACTGTTTTCTCCACACACCCCTGTCCTTGTTTTCCTTCCTTGTCCGGGGGAGAAGGCCAGCAGTTCTGCAATTAGTGGTAA